CCGCCGTCATCCGCCACCGTGAACACCAGGATGTTGTTGTACATCTCCATGGGATCGCGGGACGTGAAGGCCGTTGGCTCCTGGATAAGCGCTGCCGGGAATCTCTCCATCACCGCCTGCCGTGAGCGCCGAAAGTGTCATTTCACATTGGCCGATTTACCGATTTACCAATTTATCATAACGCGACCATCGACATTCATTTTATTTATCGATTTATTTACGATTGTTTCTGTTGTTGCCTTTTGATTGCCAAGTAAAAGTATCACGATAATAATGCTAACGATTGAATTAGCAAGTAGATTTTTTTGTTTCATGCTGTAGAAGGTTTCCACGCGCGTCTCTTTCTCTATTTCTCTCTCTCTCTCTCTCTCTTTCTCATTCTCTATCTCTCTCCTAGAGCGTAAAATTTTTTCGAATGTGCTAGAAGAAAAAGTCGAAAGCCATAATATTACGGGGCTTTCCACTTCAATTTTTTTGTTTTTTTTTTTTGTGACGAATTTCACCGTAAAATTTTCCCCTTGTATTTAATTATTTATTTATTATTATATGTTTATATTATTTATAAAAAAAATGCAATAATGCACGCATAGAGTATGTTATCCCGCTGGCTCTTAATCTATGATATTACATTTATAAGTCTATAATCTGAAAATTATTTATAATAATTTATAAGAATTATTATTTATACGAATTTAAATGTTTTTTATACATTCACATGTATTCTGAATAGTAAAAATTATTTATTATTTAAAGAAGCCGCCCGTTTAATGTCATATCGATTTTCTATAGTAGAAAATGGTGTAGAATACTACTCGTTTGTCTTGATAAATGTTTTGAGTGAAAGCTACGCTCTACGCCACTCTAAACCTCAACAGTTGTATAAATAATGCGAACGAAAGTGACAGAATAAATTGTCGCATTTATAATACAATTGGACATTGTACGTAAGTTATTCGATTAATAAATATTGCGTCCTTATGACCAATTATCAATAAAAATATCTTTTAACGTTGAAAGGGGAAAATAGCCATTGTTTTTTTTTCTTTTAGTACTTTCACTTTATGCATAAAATTAAAATACACGTTAGAGAGTCGATAACAAAAAAAAATAAATAAATAAAATTAATAAATAAATAAATAAATAATAAAATAAAGGGAAAATAAAGGAAAACTAAGAGTAAGTAAATCTTTCAATTTTTCTACAGAGATCACTAGCTTGTAATTTGAAATTGGCATCGGCTCATTTGTTGATTACCTTATGCTCAACATTCGAGTTTATCATTATCCCATCTTTCGACCCGCTGAAATTTCTATTGCGCTTAAACAATTCATCCCCACGAAGTAGAAATCGAGTTTCGACGATCAGTGATCGGAAGTTCGCGAGTGTTGGTTTTTCTAAAATTTTACATCCCAATGTTACCGACACCCCTCGATCTTTCAACACATTTTCAAATTCGAACACTTTGCGTATTCGACTATTATCGATAAGGATAACCCTTTCACCATGTCGGTAAATACGCGGTAGAAGGAAGAAAAGAAAATTTTCATAAGGTTTCATTATACGATATTATGTTGAAAAGTTATGAGAATGTCGCCATTTCCCGCGCCAACGAGTAATTCAAACGAACCTTACGAGGAACATACGCGGCTCACAAATCTAATAATCCCGTAGCTTCGTAAGCATTATTATTATAAACCAGAACCATAAAATTATTATCAACAGAACGTATAGCGAAATAAATGGCGATTCCAGGACATTAGCCGACGTTTCTACGACATTTTAAAATATTAAATTAAATATTATGGATTTGCCAATAAAATGATTGTTGATCGTAGTGAGTCGATACATTCGCATGTCGCCCGTTTCTGTCATACAATTGCATAATGAAATATTCGTTTCGATATTACCTAATCGGTGTCCATTCTATTTCTCGCGATCGCGAATGAGGCATGTCATAGGGTGGCCGCCCACCTGCTCTAGCGATCCTCATTCAACTTGCTGAAAATATCGCACCGACGTTCGCCAACGGATATCGATTAACTTTCATTGGAGCCGTTAAAATTGATAGTTCCATTGCCCTCGACGTCACACGTCAATCCTCATTAATAAATGATAATTAATTAGCTGATATCGCGTAGGCGGCCAATGTTAATGCGCTCAACGTGCGCATTTACAATTGTACTACCGTAGCTGTAAAATTAAGGATTCTCCATTATAAATGAAGGCATATCAGGGCAAACATCAGTTATTATTTATATGATCGGAGTGTTGGAGTTGACTTAGCTAAGACAGTTAGCATGAGAATTTCGAATACGCGAGCACGGAGGATAAGAGATGTCTGATTCGGTTTCATGATAGGGCGATGACGATAGGGCGCGAGGAGTACCCAGACCTCACCCGCTCCACGAACGAAACATAACTAGAGTCTCTATTGTAATGCATACCCCCGTCTCGTTGTCCATAATGAGGACCCAATTGCGCTCGAGCCGAAGCTGCATCTTCTGGCTCCAGATGCCGTTGCTCTTCTCGAGCTGCAGGAGTCGCCTCATGCCATCGGCCGGATAGACGATACCGGTCTCCTTGGTTACGGTGAACGTCGCCAGATGCTCCATCAGGTAGGTTGACTCCGCGGCGGTGCCTGGGCTCCGTACCCCTGGTGGCCCTGACGACCCTCCGCCGCCACCGCCACCACCACCGACACCGCCACCGCCAGCAGCGCCGATGCCACCGCCGCCGCCACCTCCGCCGCTGCCAACGCCGCCGCCGCCGCCACCACCACCACTCGGTCCGCTTTCTGTCATTTTCACACGCATTCCTTTAGTGGGACACGCATTCTTGCCCGCTGACGCGGCCTTTTCTTTTTCAATATCGCCAAAGTGACCCCGAGAGCTGCAGCCGCGTCGCTTCGCAGCCTCGACGTCGCTTATTTCCCAAGAGATAAGGTAAGCCTTGCTCCGTTGAAAATTGGAATATCGTCGCGTTATCTTTTTTCCCAATTTGGCGCGTCATAATGCTCGATCGGTCTTTTATCAATGCACGATATGCTACTTTATATTGTTTACAATCAAATTAAGAATTCAACGGTCTTATAATGAGGTTGTTCGCGTTGCGGAGCTTCTCGTTTAATCAAGCAGACTGCCGGGGAGTCGTCGATGATTTCGCGTTGTAGTGTCGATTCTCTCCAGGTGAGAGGCCGAGCGTGAAGCACGACGAGGACGTTGAATAAACGTTAGCGAGCGCTTTTTCACACTTTTTCGAATTTTAATCGACTCGATCGATTCGATATAATCAGCTCGATATTACAATATGAGCAAGGCCTATCTTACGAGTAGTTTACATTAGTTTACGAAAGCAGTGTAGCAAATGTTATTCGTTTACCCTTGTTATAGAGGGAGTTTCCATGGCTCGAGGAGTTGTAATACGGCATTCTGCGATGACTGATTGAATCTTGAAAGCTGAAATTCAATTTTAGCCATTAAAGTACTTGAAATATCGTTACTACCTGCAGTCGATCTCTCCTTATACCTCCCACTCTCTCTCCCTCTCTCTCTCTCTCTCTCTCTCTCTCTCTCTCTCTCTCTCTGTCTCTCTGGGCGCGCGCGCGTGTGTGTGCGAGAGAGAGAGAGAGAGAGAGAGAGAGAGAGAGAGAGAAAGTATGCGCGCACACGATGTGACACGCACGAAGAAAATTTCCCTTGTAAACAGTGTCGATATGATTAGCCTGCGTGGAAAATATTCGAAAAACGCTTGCTCATTCTATTCTTGCATCTAATCATTTTTATCAGTTGATGCTTGATAGAGTTCGAGGTCGACATTTGGAAAAGTGACGCTTAATCGATAAGCGACATTATTATAATCTACCATTAATTCCATCTTAACGGTGAATTTTATGAGTGAATTATTGCACATTAATTAAGTACGTTCGATTAAGTAAATTTAATTTTTATTATCCGTTAGATAGCAGCTTACTTTCAGTCATTACCAAGTCTATCAACGCTAATATTATGATTTTTCATTTAATCGAGGAAATGGTTGATCGCGGGTCTGAGAAATTTAAGGATAAAGTGCTGGATGAGGATAATATTCGTTTCTACGAACGATTAACATTTTATTCTATTTTTCAATAATAGAAAGCACATCCCGACTAGAGTATAACAGGATTGCCGCGTTACACAGAGTTTCTCGCAGTTTCTCACATTCGACACTGGCAAGGCTGGAATCTTTGCTTTTCAATTTTAGCAACCGATTCCAAAACAAATTCAAGCATCCCGTAAGCACACGGGATGTTAAGCGACACGATCGATGTCGCCAGGCCCATGCGGGACCCGCAAACTACATCCAATTCTTGCAATCCAGGGATAATCGGGATCCTCGGTTACAGGTGACTCCTGTTGCTCAATGGGGGTGAGCCGCCCCCGTTGCCATCACGTCTTTAAAGATCCTACTTAGCATCATTACCATAAGAATTCCCCTGGGTCATTGACATTTACGGACAGGGAAGAAGATAAAAAAGATGAAAAAGGATGAAAAAAAAAAAGAGGAGAGAAGATGGTGGCATCCCGACGGATGGTTCGGGAAGGCCGAGAGGGGAGGAACTCCGGGCAGGAGGCGCGGACACGCCTTAGAACAGTGTTGAGCTGCGCGAAGAAAACGAGTCTCCGCGGAATGCAACATGACGTAATTATATTGCGGCCTCTACTCTTTCTCCCTCTTGTTCCCGCCAAGACTCCCTCCCTCCTTCCCTGCCCCGCCCTTCAGCCATTCATTCTCTCTTTCTCTCTCTCTCTCTCTCTCTCTCTCTCTCTCGCCCGTTCGTACCTCGGATCCTGAGATATGCACGCACGTACCTAAGTATGGGGAATCGGTTTTTTTCCCGGCCGTTCCGAGACTCTCCCTCGGCGGCCGAGGCTACTTGGTCGAGTGTTGGGCACAGGTGTTTTGCACTTTTTCTCCCTCTTCGGAGCACTTCCGATTTACCGTATACTCGTGCGTGCGCGCGCGCAAAATAAGTCCACCGAGCGCTCTCACGAGTCGCACGGATGGCATTTACCTGTCGTCGTCGCTTAACATCCCGTGTCATTACGACGAGTCTACGAGTGAAAGTTCCTCTACTAAGCTAAATATTTTCTTTGGTTGCGCGCGCCCATTACATTATGCCTAGTGATATTTTCGCTGACACCATCACCATAGTCATCATCGTCGTCGTCGTCGTCGTCGTCGTCGTCGTTGTTTTCTTTGTCATTGTTATTAATAACAACAACAGCAACAACAACAATAATAATAATAATGGTACATAACGATAATAGTAGTAGTAGTAGTAATAATTTATTATTACGTTAAGAAATAATTTTTTTGGGAATACGCGAGCTTCGTCCTTTATTTTTCACTCTCTCGATCGCTCTCTTACTTATATATTAGCCACCGCGACCAGGTTTACGGATGCGTTTTGAAAGGTATTCGATCGGTAACGGAAGGACTTGCCTAACTGTTAAGCACTGGCCTGCGATCGGATAAGGCTCGAAGAATTTCACTCGCACATTTATATAGAGTCTGCCTCTCTCTTTCTCTCTCATCACTTGCTACCACTACTGTCGCCCCCACCCCGGTGTTTTTTCTCACTCTGATGCGCGCAGGAGAAGATTGGGTACTCGTTCTTTCAGAGTGCGGCAAAAACCAGGAGTTATCCACCAGACGACGAGAAAGAGAGAGAGAGAGAGAGAGAGAGAGAGAGAGAGAGAGAGCCGTAGATACACTAATGAAGATGACGGATGGCGCGCGGGCGACGAGGAAACGGGAATTTCGACATTCCTTGCAGAAAGAGACTTGAAATTCCTACGAGACCACCATGCGACGCGCTCTCCGTCTCTCTCGCACACCCACACAGATAGGGAGAGAGTTTCTAACCTTATGTATCTATCTCTCTCTACCCTTCTAATTTGGGCTGTTTCTCTCTCTCTGTCTGTCGCTCCAAGTTACTCACCGAGTACAACGCTAGTAATACTTACCCGAAATTCTTTAGGGGGCAGCCCGTGTGCACAGGTGTCCGAGATTAGAGGTCGGCATTCGCAAACGGCCAACCACTCATTCTCGTGGACCTCCTACGGGGATAGTTCTTCGGTAATACGCGCACGCACGCACGCACTAAGGAGATAAAAGGAAGACAACGACGTGGGGATCAAGAGCGAGGATCAACCGCTGTTCGGGGCACAGCTCCTCGAACGCTGTCACACTTCCTACACTCCGGCTCAACGACTACACACCTTCGGCCCGTGCAATCCCCTCACCTGGACGCATCGGTATGCCGCCGCGCGCTAGAGTCCACGTAGGTGCACGCATACCTACCTGTTGCCCACCTCTCCTTCCACCACGCCGCCTCACTCGCTCGCTCGCTCGCTCCTTCTCTCTCTCTCTCTCTCTCTGTTCCCCCCGTCTCCAGCTACGATCCAACAGTCGCGTCCCCCTTCACGCCCCGCGCGCAACTCACTCATTGGCCGAAGACGCAACCACACTATAAGAGTCGAGCACTGGCGCTCCTTTTTCAAATAAGTTTACTATACTCGCTCATGCTAATCGGTACTCTCTACCTCCGCCTCCCCCAGCCCATTCCCTTCATTGAGCACTCAGCATTGATCATTGCGTTATTGCACACCCGCAGCTCCGACTCTTTT